GATAAATTGTGCCTCCTGGATAGAGTGAATTTAATTGTGGTTGGATGAGAAGTATAAATATATACCATTCTGACACCGTATTAGTTTGTACACAACCCATCACAGCTGCACGCCGTTAGAAAATATATTTTTTGAAGAGTTCACCTCCCAATAAATGTCATTTTGGAAAACCTAACTGCTCATTTTTACTCAATACGTTTACTTTTAATACTTGAGTACATTTTAATGTCAGAAATTTACTTTTAATACTTCAGTACAAAAAAATCAGATACTTTAAGACTTTTACTCAAGTAATATCCTTGGAGGAGACTTGCACTTGTATCAAAGTAATTTCATGATAAGATACTTGTACTTTTACTCAAGTATCACTTTGAGGTACTTTATACAACACTGCTGACCCCTCACACTAAGTTCTTAGGCAGAGGGGGGTGAAAGGTTCTCCCAGCGGGTTGTGACAGGAAGAGGCAGCAGATTCAAAGCTGCGACTTTTCGTCATGTTTCTGTGACAGTGACAGACGATTTCAGCAGTTGGGATGGAGCACGAAGAGACCTCGACACAAAAAACCCCTCTGCCCTCAGTCTGTAATTTATTCTAATTATTGTTAGTCACCCTGTATGCACACTCCCTGTATGCCCACTCCCTGTATGCCCACTCCCTGTATGCACACGTTCACACCTCCAAGACTCCGATCACCGGTAACGTGTAAACGAGCAGCTGGATCGCAACAAAACTGATAGAGTTTCTCTGAAAACCAGTTCGGTGTAAATGGGACCTTATTACTCCCAGTTCTCTCTTTGAAGTCGCAGCCAGACAACTTAGGAATCCTACTCCCCCATCTGACAATATGAGAGGGGGGTGAGGGGGGTCTGGTCAGAGCTAAACCATGTGTTTGGCCCGTCTTCTCTCTGTATATAATCAGAAGTAATTTTGACCGTCTCTGCATCTCATATAGTAGGGAAAAAAAAAAAGAGGCCATGAAGGAGGCCATATGCTAAAACATTCAACAGAGGAAAACATGGTTGAAGTTGATCCAGAAGGCAAATCGCCTCAAGCATTTCATCTATTTCATTTTTGACTTAGATCTGGTAGGGTTGGTTAGCGTAATCTCCAGAGATTCTAGATCCCGTAATCCAATAATAATACATCAAAAATGCGACAAAATCGTTTAATCCAAATGAGGATTTAATTAGCAGGGAGGAATTAGTCTATGAGATGCTGCTACAGTGTTAAATGAGCCTAGATAAAGATTTTTATTCACTTAATAGTTGATAGAATAAAATATAATAATTCTGTCATCAAAACTCTATTTCAGCGCTCTTCAACTGGCGGCTCACAGACCATTTACGGYCCACAGGTAAAACTACAAGCAGTTAAGGATAAAATTAAGATAAGTAAAGCTAAAAGTGGTTTAAAAATTTGGCAAGTCAGACTGTCAAAATGATATTTGTGTTATTAGGAGGCAATATGTGTTTTTTTTTTT